ACAGCCGCGAGGCTCCGAGATGCCACAGGCGTGCGAGGCCGCGCTGTGATCCCAGTGACACCTCTGCTCCCTGCAGGTTCTCGGCTTCAACGCCCGGCAGCGCAAGGCTTTCCTGAACGCTATCATGCGCTGGGGCATGCCGCCCCAGGACGCCTTCAACTCTCACTGGCTGGTCCGGGATCTGCGAGGGAAGAGTGAGAAGGAGTTCAGGTACGGGGAGGGGTCCCGGGCAGGCAGGGCGAGGTCTGTCCTGGGCTCTGTTTGATCGCAGCGAGCACTTAGCTCACGCGTTGAGGACAAACTCCAATCACTCCGTTGTCTTGACACGTCACCATCTCTGGCTCTGCTCCCCAGGGCACGGCAGAGGCTGTGCGGTGACAAGGCCCAAGTGCTTGCACACCCCCCGCCGAGGTCTCTTTCTGGGGAGGCAACGCCTGTTTCATTTGAGAGGACTGCTGTCATTCTCTTTATGACAGGCTAAATCTTAGCCCGGGTGTGAGACTCTGCCCTCGCCCATGGGTGACCACGTCACCATCTCTGGCTCTGCTCCCCAGGGCAAGGCAGAGGCTGTGCGGTGACAAGGCCCAAGTGCTTGCACACCCCCCGCCGAGGTCTCTTTCTGGGGAGGCAACGCCTGTTTCATTTGAGAGGACTGCTGTCATTCTCTTTATGACAGGCTAAATCTTAGCCCGGGTGTGAGACTCTGCCCTCGCCCATGGGTGACAGCAGACGGTGTGGGTGCTTGGCTCAGCGGGGAGTCCGTGGGCCCAGCTGGACCAGGGTCTGGCTTTCCTTCCGCAGGGCGTACGTCTCTCTCTTCATGAGACACTTGTGTGAGCCTGGGGCAGACGGTGCCGAAACCTTTGCGGACGGCGTTCCCCGGGAAGGGCTGTCGCGCCAGCACGTGCTGACTCGGATAGGAGTCATGTCACTAGTAAGGAAGAAGGTGGGTGAGTAAAATTTTAAATGTGCCGTTTTGGGAATGTTCTGGAGCCTTGTGGGTTTCGTGGGCTGCTGAACGCTTCTCGCCAGGGATCCCCTCCTGAGTCTCCCAGGCTCGGTGCACGTTCGTTTTTGTCATAAACGTATAGGTGCCGGTAACGCAAACTGCCTTTCAAACCCTGCCGCTTCTTCGCCCGGGAGGGACATAGGGTGAGCGGGTATTTAATAGTCTGGCTGGCAAAAAAGAGAAATCACTCCAAGACTTGCTGGGCCTCGGAGCCGTTGTCAGACGTCCCTGGCAGGGTGGGTGCAGCGATCCTGCCGCTCAGTGACTCTGCGGGTGAAGCAGCCTGAACGCGCCGGCTCTGCAGCACCGGGCTGGGACCGTCTCTGCTGTGTTTGACTTGGTGCTGTGGCCTCCGCCCTAGGTCCAGGAGTTCGAGCACGTCAATGGGAAGTACAGCACCCCGGATCTGATTCTCGAGGGCCCAGAGAGCAAGAAGTCCAGCGAGATTGTGTCTTCAGACCCCAACACCCCCATCCCGGCCAGCCCGGCACATGTGCCCGCAGGCCCCGTGGCCCTTGCAGGTGGGGGTGCCTGGGGCTTCCAGGGCACGGTGGCCTTGGGCTGGCTCGGGAAGGGAGCTGGGCCAAGGCTCCAGAAGTCCTTGCAGGCGTCCGCCTACCCTGGCAGTGTGCACGGCCCTCTGGGGCCCCGTTCAACAGCTTCCTTGCTTCGCTGTCGCTACAGACAAAATAGAAACACAACTGGGGTTCCCGGAGGAAAGGGACCAAGTGGAGCAGAAGCCCAGGAAGGTGTCTGACGGCCAGGTAGGGCGGCTTCTTTCAGCATCTCCTCCAGGAGGCCTTAAGGCTGGGCTGATCTGGTGCGGGTGCTTTACGTTAAGGTGCCTGCGAGTGCTGAGAAAGCGGAAAGCGAAGAGCACCCGGAAAGCTGCGACGGCAGGGAGAAACCGAGGGAAGAGAAGCAAGAGGAGAGCGAAAAGGCTGAGCCTTCTCCCGAGCCCCTGGTGAAAGGTGAGTCTCTGTTGCTCGGATGAATCCCATCCCTGTGCGCGGGCGGCCCTCTCAGATGGGGCTGGGAGGCTGTGGGGCTCTGGCACCAGGTGCGGGGCTCTGGCACCAGCAGTGGCATCGATTTGAGCTGGAGGAGTTCTGCAGCTGAAGTGGGGTGGAGACCGGGGCGGGCACCCTACCACCCGGCATGCGCTGGTGCTCCTGGCTTTCTGCTGGGAGGCTCCAGCGCTTGCACCTTGCTTGGGCCTTTCTCTTCCCCACATCACGTGGGGAAACCTGAATGTCACAAGGTCCTGTAGCAATTCCTGAAAAAACAACAGTTCCAGGTTGTAAATGATGAGAAGTGCTCGTTGTGTGGGTCATTTTCTGTTCCTAGCAGACATCTCAAGGAAGAGGGAAAACTCAATACATTTTTTTGATAAAATGCAGAAGAATATTGTTAGAAGTTTTTCAAACGCCTTGAACTTACAAACAATAGAATCAGTTTACCTTAAAAGGGAAAGTCTATCTGGACAAGTAAGTTGTTCCCCGGAGAGCGTTTTGCACATCAAGCTTTTCTCACGGTCCCGTTCCCCTCTGCAGATGAGGGGATTCAAGAGAAAGAGAAGCCTTTGGAGAAGCCGGAGCTGAACAGCAGCCCAGGGAAAGGGGAGGACAAAGAAGTCAAACCAGGTGAGGCGGAGGAGGCTTTGGGGCGAGAAGTGGTGCGAAGGGTCTCCAAAGCAAGGCGGGTGCCTGGCGCGGAGACGAGGGACCGTGTCGGTGGGGGGACGGCGAGGACGACCGTCAGACCCCGCAGCAGCTGGTGGTGCCTTCTGGTGAAGCTGAGGAGCACGAGCGGGAACAAGGCCCCGCTGCGGTGGGCACTGCCTGTGCTTGCCGTGCAAACAGTAGGAATTGCCGGAAGAGGCAGGTGGTCGGCCGCTGCGGAGTGGAGCGCGGGCCGGTGGCTTTTCCAGCAGTGGCTTTGGCAGGGAGCTCCTCTGGCAGCTGAGGGGGCGAGGATGACACCAGTCGGTCTTTAGGCGGAGTACAATTACACAGGCGCAATTTCTTGTGTTTGCCAAGCAGAGGACGCCAAGGCGGAGGAGAAGGAGGAAAGCGAGGCTCAGCAGAACGGTGACAAAGAGGAAGAGGAGGATGGGAAGAAGGATGACAGAAACATGAACTTCCGATTCATGTTCAACATTGCAGACGGCGGCTTTACAGGTAAGAGCAAGAGATGAGGCGTTGGCTGCTCCTGCAGAGCTTCTGTGCAGAAGCTCTGAGCCCATGCAAGAAACACAAACTGTGTAAAAAGGCTGCAGACAGAATGGGGCT